AGAAAATTTGTATTTTTTTTAACTTAAAAAAATATTCTAAACTTTATAAATTATTTTTTATTGTTCACTCGAGAATAATAAACATTAATTTTCAATAGAGAAATTCATATGTGTTTTTATGAGGCTAAAGTTTAGAAGAAATTACTTTTTTTTTTAATATTAAAAAAAGATTTTTTAAAGAAAACTTTAATATAAAAAAATTATACATTTTAAGGTGAATAAAGTTTGTTTTATAGCAATTTTTTTTTTATTTTTTAAACTGGATATAAGAGGATAATTAGAATGAAATCATTACCGTATTTATATTTTTCTAACGGTAAAAGTTTATATAAAATATTATAACCAGAAAAATACTTTTTTTACTCTCCTACTGTTTGCTGTAATGAGTATCAAACACGCAAACCTACAAAACTTACCCGAGTAAGGTTATTGACCTCGTACACAACAATAAAGTCAATCGATAATGGACGGTTTTCAATTAGTCACTTATATATATTCATCAAAGAAAATTATCATTAAAACTATACATATGTGTACATTTAGTTTACTCAAAAGGAATCCCAGAGAATGCTTCTTAGTATTAAAAAAAAATTTTTTTTAGTAACTTAAGAACTTCCTCATTTTCTTAAATTTGTAAAGCGATATTTTAAATTTTATTTTATGCTTTTTTTTATTTCTCTCGTTTTATGATAGAAGATTATAAAGAAATATATATATAGAAGAAAGTTATATATATTAAACAAAATGAAAGACAAATTAAACTCACCCTAAACTTGATTAATAATAATAATAATAATTCGTTCATGATGACGAGTCGATGATAATCAGGAAGTACATAAGAGAAAGGACCAAAATTAGATCTTGATTATTATTAATCTATAGACGAGAAAAATGGTTTCTTGTATATGTTTTCGGGATGACGTCATGAAATAGTGTCGGCATGGGAAGGTCGAATGTAAAATGACGTGGGAGAAGGTTCATTCACCACCAAATTATCTCTCCCCCTTATTTTGCTATACAAAAGGGGTATAGTTAAGTTCTAGCTATAACATCTGTCGGCAGTTTTAATGCATTTTTCATTCTCAATTTTTTTTATATATGTTATATATAAAGTCTGTTACACTCCTGTACCAAATTTAAACAGAATTTCTATTTTAGAAACAAAAGTTAAACGCGAAATACATCGATCTTATACAGATTTAATATGTCCTTTTCATTACACACGTGTTTAAAAAAATAAATTGTACATTTCAACAAACACGTGGCTATAAAAATTGTTCTATTTCATTTAAGTAATGGAATAATCTAGTGTTTATTACTTAACAACATATAAAATTTAAAAACATTTACGTATATTTTTCATTATTATTAACTCGTTTGACATTTCGTCCAGTAGAATTTCAATCATAGAAAAATTAACTTAAGCATAGGTTTTTTTTTTAAATTAGTAGTTTTTGAATCAATATGATTATTTTGGGTTTTCCCCCACGTGTTTAATTAATATTTTAGATAAGGGTTTATGAACATACTTCACATGAGTGTGATGCTTCTACTTTTACATGGGAAAAGCCAGCTTCGATCGGAAACAAAGATAATAAGTTTAGAAAGAGGAAACAAATATCCTGTCTCGAAAAATATTAATGATTCTTTACAAAAATATATATATATAATTATTTATTAAATTTATATAAACNTTTTATTTTTAAAATTTAATTTTGATAACGTAATCAATATGTTTCAGTTCTTTTTCTACTCCTGATAAAAATATATATCAATTTACTTTGTCAATAAGATGGCTTGTAATGTTTACATAATATATTAAAAGTTATCAGCAATGAAGATAACGAAATTAATATCAATAAATTATGAAAATAGTAGACAAGAAACAATTATTTTATTGTTTATCTTCTGCCGAAATTTTATTTATAGTATATAATAAGTACACTTTTTTCACGAATATTTATCAAATTTAACAATTACAATCAATAATATTTTGTAATTTTTTTTGGTTTTTTGATTTAATTACATTAGATAAATTATTTTTCTAGATAAAAACATTTGAAAATTTGACAAATTTTCGAAGAAGATATGTTTAGATATATTGTTAAACAAGAGTTTTAAACGGTGGATTTGTCGAGGATACGATGATGATTCTCTCACAAAATGTCATTTATTAAAAAGAACACGTAATAAAACGTAAAATAATATAATGTATAACAATAAGCTTTAGAAAAAAATGAAAATTTGACAACTGTACAAGCGAATAATACCGAAATAAAGTCTTTAAATCACATCAAAACTATGTACACGATAAGATGATTCATTGACGATGATAAGCCCATTGAAAGGTCTTCACACTTTTGAAATATTCATTGAAAGATAATGGGTAATTTTTGTTATTTTTTTTTCTTTAAGAAATTCTACACAAAAATTCTAATATTTATGGATGAGTAAAACTTCAAAAGTAATACTGGAAATAATTAATTAATCCAGAATTTGAAGCAATATGATGACGAAATCTCTCATTCCTCGTTTGACTTTCTTCCATGCCGTATTCTTCTTTCCTGGTTCTTTTATTGGATGCATATATTCTGGACTCTTTACTGACGATGCCGAAGATATCTCGCTCATAGGTGAACTGTCGTACTTCTTGGGTTTCTTTAATGTGGAATCCGTTCGTTGAGGTTTTCTGAAGCGCTTGACTCCTAGTTTTGGATTGTTGAGTGTTTCTGGCAGTGGTTTGCTGGAGTCTCCTTTGATTCTCGATAAAATAGCAATTTTCTCGTCTTCGTTCAGGAGACCCGACTGCGCTGGTCCTTGCATGAATTCTTCGGTTGTCATTTGGAAAAAGCGAACGTTGTAGAGAGTTTTGGAAAGGACGGCTCGTTTATTCTCGGGACGGAGCTCCAATCTCTGACGTTTGCACTCCTGGCAAGCCCATTTTGTAACCGCATCGAATGCCACTAATTCTGAACTTATTCCAAGTGTATCTCTGCTGAGAATATCGTTAACCATTTCTTGTTGAAGGTTTTCGAACGCTTCTGTCCTGAGAATACTTTCCGCTCTATTGTCGATTAAACGAAAGCAATTCATAACCAGTTCGTTCCTCCAGTTTAAGTCGTTTTCGTGAAGATCGGAACTTTCACGAAACAATCGCAGATTCTGAGCAATCTCCAACACGTTTTGCTCTTGTATATTCTGCTGAAGAAAATGCAAGCATTGGTTTTGAAGCTCGTACATCACGAATCGATTGGCTGCGTGCAGTAATTGGAGAGCGCTTGATACTGAATTAAGAGGTACTTCGTGCTCGTATATAAACCTAGAATCGTGCAAAATTTTCGAATTTTAGTAATGATTTATAATAGAAAAATTGTAACCATAGTCTACGATTTTCCTTACCTGAGTAATGATTGAAAGACATCTGGTGATACGTCGTTAATATCGATAATCCAACATTCTTCGCTCTCTTCCGATAGATGAAAGTTACCTTTGGCAAATGCTTCGAATAATGGACTAGCTGGTGCGAGAATGAAGGAATGTGCCGGAAACCTCCAAACATTCGGAGGTTTTCCTACCATAAAGACGACGTCACTCTTGTATTCCGAATTAAAAAACACCGAACCCGGACTCGGTGCGGAAGGTTGAGGTGCAGGCGACAGACTACATGTCCAATCACTTGGACAAGGGGTGCCACAAGAACTCTTGATCGAAGGTGTCTGCTTCATCGCTAGAGGAAGAATCGATGGACGGCTGGATTGCGTACTGGCAGGCTGAAGTCCAGACTTGGATCGATGGACTTGGTCCTGTTGATGATGAGTGAATTTTTTGGAAAGACACTGCAACGATAAATTCGATGTAACTGTCAGAAATCCATTAAGATACGCTATATCAACGTTATCAGTGTATGTTAAATGTTTCCAATTAAATCTATATAAAATTTAGAAATTTTGAATTAATATATAATCAATCGCGTGTTTATATCAATAGAATAATTAAAACATTCATTTTATCCCCTTACGATAAAGCAAATTAAATATATAATGAATACGACATATGTAATTTGCATATGATAATACGTTATAGCAGTATAATTTAAATCATCCAATACTTACGTAATTACACGGTTTAAATTTTGATTAAATTTAATAAAATTATTCAATTAATATTAATACAGTATGAACGGACTCCATTATTGAACTTAAATTGCTTAATATTGCCGAATGCCGAAATTCGGCATTGATCATTTTTTAAGTTAATACGTCCGTAAAATTATTATTTATACATAAAAATATACTAAATTAATTGCAGTATTTATAATGAAGTTATTTTTATCGAATTTTATTTTTAAAATTTAATTTTGATAACGTAATCAATATGTTTCAGTTCTTTTTCTACTCCTGATAAAAATATATATCAATTTACTTTGTCAATAAGATGGCTTGTAATGTTTACATAATATATTAAAAGTTATCAGCAATGAAGATAACGAAATTAATATCAATAAATTATGAAAATAGTAGACAAGAAACAATTATTTTATTGTTTATCTTCTGCCGAAATTTTATTTATAGTATATAATAAGTACACTTTTTTCACGAATATTTATCAAATTTAACAATTACAATCAATAATATTTTGTAATTTTTTTTGGTTTTTTGATTTAATTACATTAGATAAATTATTTTTCTAGATAAAAACATTTGAAAATTTGACAAATTTTCGAAGAAGATATGTTTAGATATATTGTTAAACAAGAGTTTTAAACGGTGGATTTGTCGAGGATACGATGATGATTCTCTCACAAAATGTCATTTATTAAAAAGAACACGTAATAAAACGTAAAATAATATAATGTATAACAATAAGCTTTAGAAAAAAATGAAAATTTGACAACTGTACAAGCGAATAATACCGAAATAAAGTCTTTAAATCACATCAAAACTATGTACACGATAAGATGATTCATTGACGATGATAAGCCCATTGAAAGGTCTTCACACTTTTGAAATATTCATTGAAAGATAATGGGTAATTTTTGTTATTTTTTTTTCTTTAAGAAATTCTACACAAAAATTCTAATATTTATGGATGAGTAAAACTTCAAAAGTAATACTGGAAATAATTAATTAATCCAGAATTTGAAGCAATATGATGACGAAATCTCTCATTCCTCGTTTGACTTTCTTCCATGCCGTATTCTTCTTTCCTGGTTCTTTTATTGGATGCATATATTCTGGACTCTTTACTGACGATGCCGAAGATATCTCGCTCATAGGTGAACTGTCGTACTTCTTGGGTTTCTTTAATGTGGAATCCGTTCGTTGAGGTTTTCTGAAGCGCTTGACTCCTAGTTTTGGATTGTTGAGTGTTTCTGGCAGTGGTTTGCTGGAGTCTCCTTTGATTCTCGATAAAATAGCAATTTTCTCGTCTTCGTTCAGGAGACCCGACTGCGCTGGTCCTTGCATGAATTCTTCGGTTGTCATTTGGAAAAAGCGAACGTTGTAGAGAGTTTTGGAAAGGACGGCTCGTTTATTCTCGGGACGGAGCTCCAATCTCTGACGTTTGCACTCCTGGCAAGCCCATTTTGTAACCGCATCGAATGCCACTAATTCTGAACTTATTCCAAGTGTATCTCTGCTGAGAATATCGTTAACCATTTCTTGTTGAAGGTTTTCGAACGCTTCTGTCCTGAGAATACTTTCCGCTCTATTGTCGATTAAACGAAAGCAATTCATAACCAGTTCGTTCCTCCAGTTTAAGTCGTTTTCGTGAAGATCGGAACTTTCACGAAACAATCGCAGATTCTGAGCAATCTCCAACACGTTTTGCTCTTGTATATTCTGCTGAAGAAAATGCAAGCATTGGTTTTGAAGCTCGTACATCACGAATCGATTGGCTGCGTGCAGTAATTGGAGAGCGCTTGATACTGAATTAAGAGGTACTTCGTGCTCGTATATAAACCTAGAATCGTGCAAAATTTTCGAATTTTAGTAATGATTTATAATAGAAAAATTGTAACCATAGTCTACGATTTTCCTTACCTGAGTAATGATTGAAAGACATCTGGTGATACGTCGTTAATATCGATAATCCAACATTCTTCGCTCTCTTCCGATAGATGAAAGTTACCTTTGGCAAATGCTTCGAATAATGGACTAGCTGGTGCGAGAATGAAGGAATGTGCCGGAAACCTCCAAACATTCGGAGGTTTTCCTACCATAAAGACGACGTCACTCTTGTATTCCGAATTAAAAAACACCGAACCCGGACTCGGTGCGGAAGGTTGAGGTGCAGGCGACAGACTACATGTCCAATCACTTGGACAAGGGGTGCCACAAGAACTCTTGATCGAAGGTGTCTGCTTCATCGCTAGAGGAAGAATCGATGGACGGCTGGATTGCGTACTGGCAGGCTGAAGTCCAGACTTGGATCGATGGACTTGGTCCTGTTGATGATGAGTGAATTTTTTGGAAAGACACTGCAACGATAAATTCGATGTAACTGTCAGAAATCCATTAAGATACGCTATATCAACGTTATCAGTGTCAATACAAAAATCGATAAAATTGGTTTATTTTATAATAAAAAAAATAAACCCGTCATTTATAATTTTTTTATAATAAAGTTAATTAAAAATTTAATTAAAATTAATGCATTCTACACAAAAATAATTCGTCACAAGCGGGTAACAATGGCTAAAACTGGACTTACATCCCACCCAATTTCTTTACGAAAACTATATAAGCTTACGTTCTAAAAATATAAATATATAGTATTTTTTCCTCTATGCACGTATGTAAATAATAGAACAAAGCGTTTAATAATAATAATAATAATAATAATAATAATAATAAAATTGCCATTTATACAGTAAACACAACTTAACCTCCCTCCCTATGCAGAAAGCAGTTTATTTGCGTAATGTTTTATATGCCTAGGTAAGTAAATATAGGACAACCGATAATTCATCACCTGCTTTAACTTCGGTAATCACGGTTAACACCTGGCATATCGGAAAATTCGTATATAAAACAATAAAGAGGTTAAGTGTATACCCTGTTAAGTTCACTTTGTAGAAAGGAGACGGATGTTTAAAATAAATAATCTTACAGGAAATTAGTATAGAAACCCTTAAAAATTCTACTGAAAACCTAATTTTGTAAGCGTATAAAAGTAACAAAACTTAATAGGAAAATGGAACAAGAACATATTTTGCATAATTCTTATGTTTTTACTACTTAATTAATATAAAAGAAATGGAAAGGAAATAAATACTTGTTCTGTAAATTATATTTAAAAATAAAAAAATTCGACTTACGTGACGACTTTTTCTTTCATTAAATTCAATAATAATCCAGCAATTGCCATCGAACGTAAATAAAAAAAAAAAAAATAATAAAGATAAAGGTAAAGTTATAAACTGAAAATGTTACCGTTAAAATTAAGTGAAGTAAAGTTGCTCGAGCAAAATTAACTCCAGCTTTTTATAACTAGTATGAGAGGGATGGGCATGACTACGTCATTCTTCGACGTTTCCCATTGGTTACAATTCAAAATATATATATATATATATTNGTTTTAATAGGTCTTAAAACGTATAAATTAATGATTATATGATGTTACAGCACGATGTAGGCCTATATAAGTTTTCTAGAAGTTTATTTCGTAATAATTATAAAGAAATATATGCTTCTAAGAAGTTTATACACATTTTATAATCATAAATATGCTACATTTATATTAATTTTATGCATTTTAAGACCTATTATTAGGAAAAATTATGATTTTTTGGAGCTTTACAGTCATCTAGAAGCTGAAAATTATGTTTTTTAGATAACTGTAAATCCTTAAAATAATCCTAGTTTTCTAATTAATCACACGTATAAAAAATTTTAGAGAAATGCCCTTTAAATTCCGAATGTTAACTTCCCATTAGTCACGTAGATTCGAGGAAGTTTCAGCTCTTTCTGTAGAATTTAGATCCTCCTTTATTTTATGTACTTCCTTTAGTTAGTTTAACAAACACATTAAAAATCAGCGTACAGGAAATCCGACCAACTCTTCCGGTTTGGATAAGGTGGAATATTTATTTTTTTATGTTGAATTTGAAAGAAATGAAAGGGAGGAGGAGGAGAGAATAGATTCAATCTTTAACATCTTACAAACAGAGATTAGAAAGAATTCCTCTTTAAAATATTAAAATGTAAATATATAAAAGTAAGAAACGTTGAAAAGTAAATTATAAACAACAATAGACATAAATATTTGAATTAAAATTGAAGAGAAGAGAGCTGGAAGATAGGTAAAGTGTTTCAAAATTACGAGTTAAAAGAGAGTAAATTACATAAAATACGTTAAAAAAATAATATCTAAACTATAAAAATAACAGAAAAGAAGCGGAAGGAACCATCTTTAAAACGTTAGAAAGTAAATTATTAAGAAGATATAGTCATAAATCAATAGAAAACTCGAGACGTTTAAGTAAGTTAAATTAAAGTACTCTGCCCAAATTTCTAACAAGCTTAAGTCATGTTGAGTCTACATTAATTCTAGAGTTTATTGTTAACATTAAACTCGTCTTCCTTTCCCAAAACACAGAGGTGTAAATGAAAATTTCTGTTATAGTTACTTTCGAGTTAAACGAACTAACTGTAGTTCCAAAGTGCATATTATTATGTTATATAAATCTATAAAGATGCTACAGGAAAGCATAATAAAAAAATTTTTAAGTATCAATATATAATTTATACTCGTTTATAAAGATAATAAACTAGAAATTTCTTTTATATTTATTGAGGAATTTCACTGGAGTAAGCGGCAAACACTCCACTAAAATATCTGTTTATTATATCTTTAAATAGAAATAAATAAAGTAAATTTAAAGAAAATTATTTATTTGTTTATAAATTTTAAATAAATAAATAAATAAAGATTAAATTTTCTTTAAAGAACCTCTTTTTTTTTAAATGTTTTTGTAAATATTTTAAATGAATTCTCGAGATTTTTCTAGCATTTTTCATTAAATTTTATAAATAAACTTTCGGTATTTTTAATGTTTTTTTTTTATTTTTTTTAAATTAATTTTGTTGGAATTTTCTTAATGTTTTCATATTCTAAATATGTTTAGAATATTTAGGACACGTGCTGATTCTTTTTCCTATAATTTTCTGTTTTCTTTCGATAAAATTATCGGGATTTTGAGGAATTTTTTTATGTGTAAAACTGGTGTAAAATTTGTTTTTTAACTTAAAATTTCTATAAATTTTTTTTGTCTTTTTACTTACAATTCTTCTAGAATTTGCTTCCTTTCATTTATTTTTTCCCCTCAAAATTCTCCAGACATTAAAAAAAGAAGAAGAATATAAAGGGTGGCCCAAAAGTCACTTAACCATTCCCGTCTTATTTGTAAGCAACAATAGAAATTGTAACAAAACTGAAGTCATTTTTTGATCCATATTCAAGTATTTACCTGGAATTCACACACACACACACAAACAAAAACGATGTTAAGTGACTTTTGAGCCACCCCGCAGATAAATTATACTTACATTAATTAATAAAAATGTAATTTCTTAAAATTAAGAAGAGATTTTATACAAGAATTACAGGAAAAATGCATTAAAAAAAAAAGAGGGTGGGGGATATCCTGAGGTATTTACGTCATTATCCTTTGGAGACATAAATCGAGTGGAGGATGGTACTTTGACCTTTAGGATAAACATTTGTACGGTGTTAAAGAATACTCAAAAATAGAAATATCTACACGTGGCTGCAGTTTGGTCATCCGCACACTAACGAAGACGATCGGATCTTCTAACACTACCAATGACGATCCTCTCATAGAATAAACATGGTTAATAACCTTTCACCTTCGCTGTGTAAACATTCGTAGGTTAAAATTTCACTTCTATCGACTTTCAAAGAGTTATTTGTCCTATCTACTCTTCAAATTTTATCAATTTACCCTCGAAAATTATCATCTCTAATTAGGAACATCTGTGTAACTGTCTTGACTGTACAGATGACCCGTTAATTAATCATTAGAGGATTGAGTTATCTGAGACGTAACAGGACCTTACGAACACTTGAAATGCGAATAGTTTATGTAACGCAATCGTCTGTAAGCTTTGTACGCTTGCGTAACTCACTCGTAACTCCATAAATTAACATATAGATGACACATAATCTTATGTAACGCACTCGAAACTCCATAAACTTCAAAATTTTCACAGCTGTTTTTTATAAGAGCGTAACACCTGCTTCGAAATTACAGCGTAACTTAGTGTGTGCGTTACATAAGTACACACGATACTTCTCGCCGTTATCTTCTTTCGTAGGAGTATGTTACAACGATTCGTCACGCATTTTTTCACTCTTAATTCGATCCCGTATTATTGTTACAGATAGAGTTTGTTTGCAAACTTCCTAATTCATTTTTGTTTAAGGAAGTGTTGGCAAAGGACACGAGGCGTTAAATGCTTGGCAAGACAAAGTGACAATGACATATAAACCCCGTCTATTTTAGTAATGGTCCTATCCCGTTGTCTAGAAAATACAGACGATGAATTACTTACTCTTGACTCATCTATACACGTGACTAACTCCCAACATTTCTCTGTACATAACTCTACATCGTCCCTATCCTTGTACTGGTTTTTTTAGATTAATTACAACTCCCACAAAAAGAAGAAACTGTTGTTAGTTTATAAATATAATTATTATTTTACAGTAATATTTGATAAAAATGTGGAATTTTTGGGGGGGTTATATGTCGGTGTATCGTGTTTATGTTACACGCGATGACAAATGGTGACATATGAGCTTCCTTACAGCAAAAAAAATTGAAAGAAAAACGTAAAATTCTCAAGATAGAACTAAAATAAACTTTAAAACACGCAAAATTTACATTATTTTAATTAAAAAATATGATTTTTTAAACGTTTAAAACACTCTTTTAATAAACTCGATTTGGTAAGAGATTATCCAGATTAGATCGAAATTAACACCGAAAATACTTGAAATGTTTATTGAAAAAATGCAATAAAATTAAACAAATCTAATCAAAAAACGCATCTTTTAACGATTTAATAATCATTTTTGATTATTTAAACATTTTAAAATCAATCATTCAACATATAAACTTGACAAAAATCGAGATTTTAGTCAATCATCACCATCGTCGATTCGATCGATCGACAGATATCGAGCAAAATCGCCGATTGATATAAGTTTAAATTTAAAAAATATAACTTTTTAACGTATAAAATTTAATAATTTATCTATTTTTCTATGATTTAAAAGCTTATTTTTGAAGATATTTTAAGCAGAAGTCGCGTTATCTCCATGTAATTTCTCGCTCTTAGAAACTTTAAAAAAGAAAAAAAAATCGTTAGAAGTGTGGGGGAGTAAATCGCAATCTTTACTTCTGTCAACACTATCCGTATCTTAAGTAACAGTTAGTCAAAGTTAAACCAAACA